TGGCTTGGTATTGATGATCTTGGCTCCGTCACCTCGCTAGTGATTAGCAAACTCGCTAGGCCATTTTTCGCTAAAATCTACTTTATGGGATTCGTGTTATCACACTGCACTCTTACTTCCTTACATTTCTGTTCAATAAAAAACTCAACAGCTGAGCATTATTCCAGCAGAATATCGAAAATTTGAGTCTCATATCATCTCCAAATTCGCAATCCAAAATCAAATATGAAAACAACCTTGGATCCCCGATTTCCCCTTGAGGAATACGAAGAGTACGACGAAAAATCAAGACACGACTCTTCTCCCATGAAATACGGGATTACACGAAGACAGAATCTCGAAAGTCCATGGGATCCTGAAAAGAACATCCGAAGAAATTCATGGGACGGAACATTAAGGCCAGCATCCGAGTTCGAAGAAGTCACATCATCGGACCTGGAAGGAAAGATGTGTGAGAAGTGCAAAAGGAACAAAAGAATGGCGTATAGTTGGAATCCTACCTTTCTTTGTCTTCCGTGGCTTGAATGGATGTATCATATCTGTTTTGTGGTCATATTTATTTTACCACTCGTGATGATGACTGTGGTATGTATCATCCATCCCACCAGAATAATCATCACAACTTTCCTTAACTATCAAGTCCCATCAAATCATAATAGTAACTCTATGATCATAGTGGGATACAAACGTAATAAAGGGATCAAATCAAAATGAAGACATATCAAAAACACCATTAGCAGGAATGACTCACATTGGTTCCTTCGATCTCAGACACGCTAATTTGAACACAACAATGCCTTGGTTATGTACCCAACTTCTGAATCAAAGACAAAACAAAGGTTGTTATGATATTACATCGGTATTTGGGAGCTACGCTGGATGGGGCTATCTAGTCTTTTGCTGGATGAATATCAGTGCGATAAGCTTTGCTATTGCGGGGGTATCATGCCTTTCATACGCAGTGATCTGGCATCATAGATGCACGAGAATGTTTCAAAACCCAGTGATAAGAAGAAAAGAAGAGGCAAATTTAGTTCCGAAAAAGCAGGGTTGTTTGCCCAAATCTGGAGCTGGAACTAAAGGGTCACTTGAAAGGTTATTCAGCAGCAAATGGCGTTCGGAACCATTCACTCTCGGAATGTGCTTTCAGTTCGTCTCTTTTTTATTGGTATGTGTTATAGTGTACAATGCGATCCAAAGGGGATCTTGATCACAATCTCTGTAGCTGGATTGTAGATTATCTTTCATACTATTTCATTCTACATAATTAGTACGAGTTTAAAGCCCCTTCAACTATCCTCATTGGTTACGATTATCTTTCAACCCAGGGAAGTGGAGTGATTCATCAAATATGAAAGTTAGTGACAATTTTTCCAAGAGCCTTAGATGACCAACCATACTTCAGTATACTGCTCCTCGTAAATAGTCTCACCTTTCTGATGAAGGCTAGATATTTCTACAATCCATTTGATTGCTTTTAGGCATTAGTTAAAGTTGTTTTAAAGATACTTCCAGATAAATGATACATCACGGGGTCTCCCTAAATTTTCAACAAGGTCACATCTGAAGTATTCAAGATGTATACCATGCCCAGAGTATCTCGGATTTGGGTGACAAATATATTTTGGGTATGATTGATGCGAGTTTTCAATGATGATTCGTGATCAATGTAAACTTTAGCATGGATCAAGAGATCTATTATAGAGAGCAAGGCTAGTGATAGATAATTGATCTTTGGTTGTAAGGAAAGTAAAGGATAGTTTGTCTCCCATTCCTTTCTCTTTTCAAATTGAAGCCCTCTATCTTCGAAAGTCTCATGAAATTCATGGACACAATCTCTGGGAATTATTCAGCATTGTAGTTCCATTGTAGTTCCTGATTAAAAATTGATCATCGCTGAGCCTGTTGATCAACAGGACTGATAGTACCATCGTCAAGTCCATGAGGAAAAGGTTTTTTTGCTGCGCTATTAGACTAGATTGAAGCACCTTCTGTTTTAAGGATTTAGTATTCAGAAGAAATATTATTTTCCGCTAGTTCGCATGCATTGGATGCTTCTTGAGGAAGGCGCGGGACTGTGTATTCATCCTTCCGTTTCTTCCAACCAACCCACGCCCATCTTTTTATGATGCCGCCTATCTTCAGTCGTGGACTCTGCTTTATTCCAAAAACCCCTTGATTATACGGAACCTTTTGTTTTCCCAACAATTTCCACGAGGAAAACCATTCCCGAGTCTGCCAAATCAACAATTTGATCGGACTCCAATGTTCGCAGTTAATCGCAGCTGGTCAACTTTTCCTTCCAAGATGTGCGAGATATGTCGGGAGAACTTATTCAAAAACCGGTGATACGATGTTTCCAGTGGATAGGCGCCATACCAAGTCTTCTGGTATGCTTTATCCCGTCTTTACTTTTGACTATTGTAAGCATTTCTCTTCCCAGTTTATACATTCGAAATTGCTTCTTCCAAAGGTTGTATCGTATCAACCAATATCTAACCAAAATCTCAAGGTATTCATTAACACGCCATTCGCCCAGTTGCCTAGCTCAAATCCAATACCTCTATGTGGTATTAACACTTTATATACTGAGAGACGACAAGGTAGAGTACAACTTCGCATGTTCTCAGTCACTTGATACACTTTACTATATCTACTGTAGCTGCTGAGCGCAGGGTAAGATCGCCATACATTACGATCTTCTTGGTCCCGTTGATTTCGAACATTTGAATCTGCCACTATGGCTATGTGCCTTCATCGACGGTGCTGGCCCACATACTCACAATCTCCTAGAGTCAGGCTGCGCAGATGTTACATGGATGTATCAAACATATGCCGGACGGATTAGTCTGGCTATGGTTATTATCTACTTCAGTGGAAGCTTTTTTGCACTATTGGTCATGATAGGCATTTTGTATGTGTGCGCATCAAATCTCAACTGTCTGTGCGACAAGAGGTATGGAATTAGGTTGAATGTGACAGAAGGACCAGGGCAGAAATTGAATGTTCGAAAGGACATGATGACATCTGGGGATATGAGCGTGGAAGAAAAGAGCAAATTTCGTCAGTCTGGTTACGAGAAGATAGTGAGGACGAAATTGGGGAGAAAAGCCATGTCAAATTCATGGTTAATGAGTTCAGGAGTAGCACTTGGGCAGATCCTCAATGTCTGCTCATAACTATGCTGATATTGTGCCTATTCTGGTTCTTGTCCATAATGACATGCGCGTTGATCTCGTTCATCGTATCTGAGGCTCTAGATTGGTTACGTCGAAAAATTTAGAGTGTACAACAATCGGTCGAGGACTGTAGGTATTAAAAGATTTCATGTAGTATAACTAGTGCATTCAGTTAGTAATTAGTATACATGAGTTACTTGGAAGTCCCAGATGAGCCCAACCACTGCTCAACCTGCCCAAGGCAGCCCTGAACTTGTGCCAATCTAGCAAATAGTTCCTTGGTTTGATCTAATCTTGAGCTACCGACATGACTATGCCAATATTGCATTCAACCTGAATAATTACTTGGGAGAACCTAGAGTCCCTCGAACTTCCAGAATATCATAATACACTGGTACAACAAGAAGTTCCATCTAAAATTTCGAAACTGCAATGATAAGTCTAAATTACCCGTGATTCCAGCGAGAAGGTATTCGATGCACTGTCTAAAATCGGACTTACGGGAAGGTGAAAGCTCCGGTACTTTTGGACAGCAGCTGCAAGGATTCAGAGTGTCTATAAAGGAATTGATGTGCAGTGCTTACAATCGGTGAGTCGGGTTATATAGTTGGATTGGGTAAACTGTGGGTTAGATTGGACTGGGTAGTGTAAAATGGTGACACATGGTTGATTAATTCGAGTTAGTTTTTTTTCAAAAATTTTAGAGGTTGAATGGTTTATTAATATATCATTGGACAGTTTAATAAGAACAATTAATTCTAGTTTTAATTGTGAGTCTCCATCAAGTCTCAATTTATATTCAAATTCTCTGTATTGTGTATCATGAGCACTTGCAGGTATCAATAGGGATTTTCTAGTCAATAGATGAACTGGGTTGACGTCATAAATAAATTAAAAGCCTTTTTTGGAGGCTGCAAATATACTTTCCATTTCTTTGTGGAGATGCACAATGCTAAAGCAGACATTTCAATTATCTAGAGTTATGTTCAAGAACGGCGAGTCGAAGAGAAGACTGGCATTGATGATACACCTCAATTCTTCACGAACATCAATTATATTAGAAGACTCAAAGTACCTAGTCGGTGAATTTAAAGCATTTTACAAGGATATGGAAGTAGCACAGGACGTTCAAGGCTTAGCCACCTCGTTGAAGGACTCTACCTTGTGATTTCTCTATATGGACCAATCAAGTTCGCAAGTAGTTGCATAGTTAGCTAATTGAATGAATCTCCTACCTTTCACAACTGTGGGGGGGAAGTCAATGCACAAGCCGCCTAGCCCTATTAAGCGAGTGCCGCATTTGCATCAGGAGTCCCGAGTGAGCCTGATGCGAATACGCGATGGATGATCGGCACTAGTGTCGGCTTGGCATAGATTTACACAGGGTATGTAGATGAAAAATTGGTAAGTGAACCAACCTTTTTAGAACGGAACTTTTCCTCTTCTTGGTAAAAAAGAGATGAAATGAAGGAGATCATGAATACACACACTTCAAGCTAACCAGAACATGGCAAGTGTCCACGGGGCTGTCCACAAGCTCCGGTAGTTCTGGCTTGCTCTCCCTTTGTGGATGAGGTGTACGAATGGATAATATACGTATTGCGAATCATACTCCCCAGCCACAGTTTATGGCTATACTCGTCGTCATCTTCGCTGACCGTGAGGCTCGATCCTGGTGATTTTGATATTGCGGTTGCGCGGCATGAATTAATGGCCCCAGTTGAACTTTTGTTGTGTGGAATATAAGTTTGGAGTCATTGGCATGGAAAATGTGTATCATCAAACACAGACTCTACATTCATCTCAACAAACCAAGGCAAGATGCGCTCTTCATCTTCCTACCTACCGCTGGCAGCTAGCCTTGCAACAGCATCCCCTCTTTATGAATCCCCTCTCACTATTCCCAACTGGGGAACAGTGCAAGGAAAAGCCGCACTCAACAGCTCTGTTGCCGCCTATGTTCCCAGTTGGGCCGACATATCCTTCTTTGGTGGAATTCCCTTCGGTGCTTCTACTGGCGGAGCAAATCGATGGGCGCCACCAAAACCCGCATCTCCATGGAATGGTACACTCGATGCTTCGGACTTTGGCCCGATTTGTCCTACATCCAACATGGCTCTCACTCAATATGATATGAGTGAGGATTGTTTGTCCATCAATATTTGGACTCCTGCTACTTCCAGCGATGAGAAGTTGCCTGTTGCTTTTTGGAGTTATGGAGATGGAACGGCACCTCCTCAGTCTCAGTTTAATGGAGGAGGTATGGCTGGAAAGGGTGTTGTTTTTGTCACCTACAACGTAAGTCGTTTTCATTCTTTGATCTTCCAATCCTATACCAATATTTGTGACTCGAGACCTTCAAAGAATCGATCCAATCAATTTGCATTCAGAAGGCATGAATAAAAGAGTAGAGCTAATTCTTCAATGTTAAACAGTACCGAAACGGTGTGTTAGGGTTTTTAGCTGACTCCCGTCTCACCGAAGAATCTGGCAACAGCTCTGCAGGTAGTAATTCCACCGGCAATTGGGGAGTTCTTGACCAATTTCTCGCCATCAAATGGGTCCACGAGAACATTGCCGCCTTCGGAGGCGATCCAGATCACATCACCGTAATGGGACAATCTTTCGGATCTGCCGCTACCTACCACATTGTCAACAGTAATCTCACAGCCGATAACGGTATCGTAGGTGCTATATCCGAGTCTGGTGTACGTTCACCAAACGATGTTTATACCAGCTACATTGCGCTCTCATATATCAATCAGACCGCTGCTGAAGTTCTTGGAGCCGAAGCTTTTGAGGCTCTCAATGTCACAACTGTCGAAGAAGCTCGAGCACTTACATATGAAACCATCATTGCGAACACTGGAGCTCAAGATCAACAAGTTAAACCTGTACTTGATTATTATGCCATCCCCGAGAAATACATCGAAACACTCCGCGACGGAGCCGGAAACCCCGTTCCATATATCACTGGAGGAAATTCAGATGAATACGGTGTATCCGATACCTTCACAACCACCGCCGCCGATTATAAGCAGTATGTCGCAGGTAATTATGGCGATTATGCTGATGAGTTCTTGAGCCTTATCCCGCCGGAAACGATACTCAAGCATCGCTTTCTGAAACCGCTCTTGTTCGTGACCAAAGTACTGTCTCTTGCTGGCAATGGATGAACGGATATACCAACTCTTCCGGTGGTGTCAATGGCTACACATATTTCTGGAACTACCACCCACCCGATGTTGGAACTGCATCCCACGGTAGTGAGATTGTCTACGCATTGGGAAATCTCTGGGCTCAAACTGGTGTTAACTACACTGCTGAGGATTATTATGTTTCCAACGTGTTGAGTAGTTACTGGGCCAACTTCGTCAAGACTACTGATCCGAACTCTGGAGATTCTTATAACAATGGTACTTTGCCTGCTATTTGGGAGCCTAACTCTTCTACAAAGAGAGAGACTTTCAAAGTTGGAGCTGAGTATGGTATGATTGCCGTTGCAGCATCGCTTGCTAAGATTGAGGCTTTCCTCAAATGGTTTGCTGACACCCAGCTATCTAAGTGAGATACAATGTGGAGATTGAGGATCTCTCAATTACCACATGAGCTCTTGGCATTGAGATTGAGTTGAAAAAGGGTTGCAGTGCTCAGCAGGCGGACCTTTTGCACCGTACCAAAAGTTTGTTGGGATTTTCTTTCGAAAAAGTTAATTACATTCATATAAGTCGGATACCCCACTTTCTGGCCACCCCCCTTTTGGGCCACTTTTTATACCCAAAATATACCAAAAATAGAATTTTTAACTTTCTTATTTATAAATAGAATTCAATGAAAATTTGTATATATATAATTTAGATTGATTTAAACTTATTTGAAATTTTTAGATTTTTAGGATTTTTCTGTATTAAAAGCTAGAGCTTCAAATATTGATTTCTAAATTTGTATAAGAATCACATACAAATTATAAAATTTTATAAAATCTTTAATAACTTTTTAATAAAAATTGCTAAAAATAAATTATAAAATTTTGTTATAAATTTATAATATATTTAATATAAAAGATTCAGAAAAAATAGAAAATTTTTATAAATAAATATTTATAAAGATATCTTTAAAATAATAAGGATTATTTATATTGTTGGTATCATTATGGGGATGGTGAAGTAATATAATACTAATGATTTATACTGTTGTAATATTGCTTGAGGTTCTAAAAGCTAAAGGCTACGAAACGTACGATTGTCACGGTGTGAGCTCACGTGATATGCTGGTCCTATCGGAGAGGACCGAAAGGAGCGCTCGCATCGGAGCGCAAGCGAGCTAGAACCCGATCGGGCTAGCTCGCTATGAAAATTCCGTATATCTTTAATTCAAAAGATCCTGTATTATAGCTCTTTAAACTATATCTTAATCCTCAATCTGAATCTATTATCTGAATCAATATAACCTTATTAGATTAAAGTAAAGTTATTAGAACCCTATCCTGTCCGTCTGCCTTGTGATATTATATAGCTCCTACCTATTAAAATATCACTTTCGCGATAACTGCTTCGCACTTGTCTGGCTAGCCTGAGGACTTCTCGGAATTTGGCGCTTCTGTATTGAAGGACCTTTAGATTTGATACCAATACCTTCAGTCGGTATTTGTATATTATGCCGAGCTGAAGAAAACTAACAGATTATTTGAATACGAAATTTCCGAATCCCTAATCTGCAAACATATTCAAGTTACTCTATACAAATAGGTTGCTATTCAAAATACCTGTTTATTCAATCGCCTTGCCAAATCTATATCTATTATATCTACTCGTTTGAAAATTATATCCCCTAAAATTCCTGTTGACTTTATTCCCAAACCCATTGTATCTGCTCTAATTACTCGATTAAATAAATGTATCCCTAATCCAAAAGAGTTTGATAACATTTATTCCGACCTGTACAGATTTGTTCAACAAATATACAGAAAATTGAATGCAAATAATAATAGATTTCCAATAACTTCTACCCATTTGACTTATACTACTAAAAGACTTATTGAAAAGGCATACAAGCTTATATTATCTAAGATCTCCCATAGGATTCCTCAGTTCACCAACTATACCATACTCCTCGAATATCTCGAAAACACCTTTGAGAATTCTAATCAAATATAAAACGCATAGAATAAACTATATATATTAAAGCAAAGACATTTCGATTTTAGCATCTTCTTTATAGAATTCCAGAGACTTGCTCTAAAAGGAGAGATACCTAATAATACTCTAATCCTATTTCTATTTCAAAGAATCTTTTACAAACTATAAGATATATTATTGTATAACCTCACTTTAACCTATGAATTTCGTTAATACACTAATTATCTATAACAACTCGATAACCAATTCTATTAATACTAATAACAAGTTTATTGTATTTATTCTATCACTTCCGAAACTTTATTCTAAAGAATAATTACTGCTCTACTTCTATAACTCGCTAGCCCGAAGTCTACTCCTAGAGATCCAATAAATCTGAGCTTAGAAAAAAAGGAATATACTACTAAGAACCTAGATTTACAGCAGAAATACGGCAAGTACTATTACTACGGCTTTACTAACTACCTGATATAAGACTGCCCACACCCTGATACCCGTTCTGTTTAACTTCGAGTTATTACTACTACAACCAGCTTTACGAGAACCAGCCCTATATTAAACAGTTCTTCGAGGAGCTGAGTCCCTACTCATTCTTCATCTCGCTCTCCTCCCCGCTCGCCGACCAGCTTAATCAGTTCAGGAAACGGGATACGCCTGACCTAAACTGTAATCAGAACGATTCTCTGTATACCCTTCATTTATCTGCTATTACTACTCATAGCCTTTCTTTAAAAGATAAACTAAATAATCATATGGATCTAATAATTCTATTTGTTATTCTACTTTTAGAAAAAGATACCCTCCCGATATATATTATAGTTGATAACGGATATAAAGGAATTGTCTTTACAGATTGAAATTAAATATTTTCTTAGAAAATATCAGTATATCAATTATCTATAGTATTCGAAGTTATAGGATTCGATGGAAATATTCTATCCAATAATCAAGTTACTTTCTATATTCGAATAGGATTCAGAATTAATAATTATATTGAGAAGAAGATTGTTTTATTTATAATCAAGCTAGTTTACTATCCTATTATATTAGAGATAGCTTGGCTTAAGAAATACAACCCCTGTGTCGACTTTACAACAAACTCGTTTCAGTTCGATAGTTCGTTTTACTACGAATTTTGTAATACTCTGTTCCACTTGTTCCGTATAAAAGCTCTGCCAAATATTCCTTTAAAAGCCTAATCTATACATCTATCTATCTACTCTGAAGGATTAAAGAATAAGAATATAACTACAATCTCCCTAAAAGCCTATTCGATTTATATCCATCGGAAATACAAAATATTCTAGATATCGATTAAACAAATTGATAATATTCTAAATAAAAAGAAAAAGATATTTAACTTTAAAGATCTATTATCTGAATTCTGAAATTGGAAAGATATCTTTTTTCTAAAGAATATAGAGAAGCTATTCCCTTATTAATTATATAATTATAAGATCTGTTTCAAAGAAAAAGCTATTCCTCTTTTTAATACCTTATACTCTATATCCTATTTCGAATTAGAAGCCCTGAAAGAATAGTTGAAAGAGAATCTTAGAAAAAGGTTTATCTAATCAAGCTCTTCCCCTATCGCTTCTTCTATTTTGTTTATTAAGAAAACTGATGAAAACCTCTGGTTTTATATAGATTACTATACTTTGAACAATTTGTTAATTAAGGATTGATATCTTTTATTATTAATAAAAGAATCTCTAAACAATTTGAAAGGAATAAAGTATTTTAATAAAATTAATATTATTTCTATCTTTAATAATATAAAAATAAAAAAAGAATAGAAATACTTAACTATATTCTATACCCAATTTGGATTATTCGAATCTTTAATTATGCTGTTTAGGCTAATAGAGGCTTCTACAATCTTCTAGAGATTTATTAATAATTCTCTATAGGGATATCTGAATGTATTTTGCATTACTTATCTGAATGACATTCTGATATATAGCTGAACTCGAAAGAAATATATTCGCTATATTCAGAAGGTCCTATAAGTATTGAGGGAAGCCGGCTTGTTTGCTAAATTCGAAAAATGCAAATTCCTGAAATTCGAAACCAAATTCCTAGGTTTTATTGTAGAAAGTAATAGTATTCAAATGAACCTAGAGAAAATCCGAATAATTGTGGATTGAAAACCATCTACTAATATAACCGATGTTCAAGTATTTATTAGGTTTTCGAATTTTTACCAACAATTTATTAGAGATTTTTCAAAAATCATTAACCCGATAATAGATCTGACCAAAAAGAATGTTTTATTTCTGTAAAGCTCTACTTATCAAGAAGTATTTGATTGATTAAAGCAAGTGTTTACCAAAGTATTTGTTCTGGCTTTCTTTAATTAGGAAAAGGAAGTAATTATAGAAACCGATATCTCTGATTACATATCTGTCAGAGTACTTTCTTAATATAATAATAATAAAGTACTTAGATCTATTATATTTTTCTCTAAAAAATACTCAGTAGTTAAATACAATTACAAGATTTACAATAAAAAACTACTAGCTATTATTTGTTATTTTAAAGAATAGTATCCCAAATTGAAAGGTGCTATATTATCAATTCAAGTGATCACCAATTATAGAAATCTGGAATACTTTACCACAATAAAGCTATTAAATTGTTATTAAGCTTACTAATTTGAATTTCTATCTCAATTTAATTTCCAAATTATTTATCACCTCAGAAAGCTAGATATCAAACCCGATACACTAATTAGGAGATTAAAAGATCTTTCTAAGGAGGGGGATAAACATCTTTTATACTAAAGCTATATTATCCTAAAACAAGAGAACCTGAATTCCGATTTATTTCCCACTATTATTATTCTAATTGAACCCAAGATTGTCAAGAAAGTACATTTCGCTATAATCACCTATAACCAGAGAAACCCCAATCCTACCAATATCACCAACTATTTGGATTCTGACAATACTATAATTTTGCTAGAAAATGATAAAGTTATAAAGTCTGTAATTCTATATACTATATCTATATCCAATCCTGTGATACAATTAAAAAATCCAGAAAACCCTTTAAACCTTTCTGTCGATTTGCTTACCCTATTCCACGAAAACTATCAAGCTAACCCTGTACCCAAATCTGTTCTGAAATCCCTATAAAAGGGATTCTCGAAATATCTGAAAATTACTCTTGCCAAGTATATCGAAAACAACAATCTACTATACTATTAAGGGAAACTATACATTCCCGACCACAACCCCCTAAAAACCTACCTGCTCCGTTTATATCACGAATCGCTCGCTGTTGGTCATCTGCACTATATTCAAACCTTCAAATTACTATCCCAAAATTACTACTAATCTGGATACTACAATTATATTATATAGTGAATCTATAACTATTATAATTGTTACTATATTACCCCAAATCACAAAGACTAAAAAAAAGTTCT